TGTGGGGGGGGGGGGGGGGGGGGGGGGGGGAAGGGCGAATGCTGCGTGTGTGCTGTAAAGAGCAACTGCGACTTAGGGCAAAACGAACTCCCGCCCCCAGAGCATGACAAGAATGCAGCGAACGCCGCTGTCACCTGATAACAGCCACTCTACAGGGTTTTTAACAGAAGCCCTAACCCCCAATCAGCAGCCACGCAGCTGCTCGGGCGCCTAACACGCCGCCATCGGGGCACTACTGCAGCAAAGAGCAGCGGAGGCATCCCCAACCCAACGCAGTTCGTTGGGGGCTGCCCCGAGTCAAGAGCGTCTTTTTCCTCCGGAACTCCTACAACTCAGTAGCCTTACTGCTATTAGCCAAATTTGAATGCGGGCAGGCAAGAGAGAGATACTACATGTACAGCCAGCGTTATACCGACGGGTAGCAATCCGCCAACAAGACCGTTCGCCCCGTCTTAGACAAGGGGACTGCGCTCGGGAGCAACGGGCTTCCCAGGGGCCTCCTCCATTCTGTGGTAGAGCTGCAGCTGCTGCTGTACTTCGTGCTGCACCCGCTGCTGCATCCCTTCCGCCAGCTGCTTCTTTGCATAACGGTAATACAAGTAACTCAGGCCGAGGCAAATCACAACTATCATAAACAAAATAAAGACGAGATTGCGCGAGTCCAGCATCGACCGCAGCCACGGCGCATCTTCAGTGTGTGCGTCGCTGCAGATACACCCCCCAAAGCAACACAAAACAGGAAATGACGCTTCGCTCGGCCACTGCAGCAGCAGGCCGCGAAAAAAAGAACTTCCTGCATAAGTAGCAGCAGCAGGGTGGCAGCAGCAGAGCTGCAGAAGCGCTAGCGGGGCGCAGGCACTACTTGTGCTGCTGCAGCAGCGGTGACAGGTTCCGGCCACTTCGCCTAGCTCACACGACGATGTCATTGCATTCGTCTGCTCTGTATTGGTTTGTAAGCGGATTAACGGTGGCAGAACAAATGGCTCTAAGGACCGGCTCCGGAGCAAGCTGTCCACTATATCTGCGCAAGAAAAACAACAGCCAAAAACGAGCAACAACGCGCTAAAACCCTGCTTGTGGTTCGTACATTGGATGTACCTACACCTAGACCTGCTTGTGTACTCTTTGTGGGTGCTCCAAAAAGAGGAATTGGCGTATGCATGCATGGATGCAAGCAAGCATGGATGCATGCAGGCATGGATGCAAGCAGGCATGCCCGCATGCAGGCATGTATGCAGGTTCATGCCTGCGCTACCCGGGAGAGTCTGCTGAGGCTAGTGCTCACCTCGCCCCGTTGATTGTCATGGCGACGATTGACCAGCCGCGATTGTTTTTGGAGAAGTCCAGCAGCCGACGTCCGCTCTCATCTTCCATGCACAACTCCACAGAGCGCAGCTGACCGCCTGCCAACACCTCCGACAAAACACGCTTCGAGCACGCAGGGCCCCAAGCGTTCCTGCCCTGCCTCACCCACAGACTTGTACACGAAAACCCAGGTGTGCGTACACGATGAGGCCTGACAGAACCGCTCAGGCACGCTGCATCGGTCCTGCTAAAAGAATACACGGACGAAGAGACTAGCGTCTATGTGGAAGGAAGACAACGTATTCGCTATACAGCATATTTTCAAACCGCAGCATGAACCCAAATCGTAAACCCTAGACCTTAAACCCTAAATTCTACACCTAGACCCAAGAAACTCCCCAGCTCCCAAGTGCTGCCGCGCTTCGCCCACCTTGCCACTAAAGGAACAGCCGTCTCTCACGTCGCCTAGCCTCTGATGGTAGAGCCACCACTCTCGCGAAAACTCGCCTTCTTTCATCTCTGGCGGAGTCACTTTCGTGATGCTGTACAGACAAGACTGCAGCAAGGACTCCTGCACAACTTCACTCCCTGCAATACAGCAGCAACAAAAGCAGGCAAGTAGGAGCAGCACGCCGGCAGCGGCAACAGCAAGGGTACACAAGGGCACAGCATACCAAAGACCCACCAACACACAAGCGGCTGCAAACAGCCCTACAAGAGCACCAGGAGAAACTACAGCAACACTACCAGCATATATGCCCCCGACAGGAGGGGGAAGCGTCAGCCTACAGCAAAAGCATCAACAGCAAGCCTAACAAGAGCAGCATCGGAGGAGCGCAGCATACCGGTGAGACCAAGGACTTGTGCGTTGGGTTCAAAAGAGCAGTAGAGTCGCGGATACTTCTCATAAAGGCCCTGAGAAAGGCAAAGTTCTTCTGAGCCACCCTCAAGAGAAAAAACATTGTAGATGGTCTGGAAGCGGACGTGCACCCCCAAACGCAGCATGTAGGGAGCCAAAGACTGCAAAAAGCTGGCGGCTGCAGCAGCACATGCACCCAATGCAAACTGCCACCGACTGTCAAAGGCGAAAGCAATGAAGCAAGCAGGTATTCTTACTTCCGAGTAGTCGGAGCGAACGGACACCTTAGAATAACGATGGCAAGCAAAGCCGACAACGACAATGACAAATACGATAACAAGAACAACGAGAACAGCAATATGCAGAACAAGAACACGAACAACAAACAACATAAAACAGACAACAGGCAACAAACAAAAACAAACAGCAAACAAGTAACAAAAAGCAACAACAATAATAACGGCACCTACGACAACAAGAACAAGAACAACAACAACAACGACACCATGAACAAGAACAAGAACTACAGAGAGCATCAAATAGCAGCAAACAACAACACGAAACATCAGAAAAAACAACACCAGAAACCAAAAAAAGGAGAGAATGAGGGCGCCCAGCAGCTGCAAATAAGCGGAAAAGCGGACATCCAGCCTATTCAGGGGAGTCAACAGCAACAGCAACAGCCGTAAGAGGCAAACAGCCCAATGTAAGCCACGCACCCTGCGCATCGCCTGGGTCTGCCCAGAAGTTGACAGCCACAGGCCACTGGGCAGGCATACGCCACTCGAGTTCTACAAGAACGGGTTCTTGTCCTGAAAGGATCTCCTCCTTTATTGCATCTCCTTCGGGTTGTGCTATTAGCACAGACGGTATGTGAATCTCCCGCATCTGCAAACAACGAAAGACCACCACCAGCAACCACCACAGGAACAGCTATAGCAAAAAAAGCAGCAACAGCAACGACAATGCCATCAGCAGCACCTGCATCTACAGCAGCAACATCAACAGCATCAACGGCAGCGGCAACACAATGGCCAGCAGCACCATCAATAACGACAACAGCACGCATCAGACACACACACGGTGAGGGCCTCCACCCTGCTGAATGGCACGTACGCATACGTGCATGCATCCCGTCTTGCAGGCACGCATCGACAAGGAAATCTCCTAACCTTTCCGTCATCACTCATGATGATGTTGTGGCGAATCATCCCGCGAGTCCAGTCTTGCGTGCCATGATCAACAACTACTACTGCGTCCGCCCCACAGCTCTGCGCAGCCTCTACTTTTGCAGCAAACGTGCAGACACCCCTGTCAACGAACAACACAACCTGCACGAGCAAAACACACCCCGCAACGCCATGAAGACAGATGCAAATGCAGCAGCAGATGCTGCTGCTGCCGGCCCCACACAACTGCTGCCCCGCAGGTTCAAGCCGCAACATACACGCACAGACCACATGTCGCTGTCTCTTGAAACGAGCCAGAGGTAGCTCCGACACACGACAGAAAAGAAGACACAGAGGGGAAGAGAGGCCGCACTCCTAGCGCACAACACGCAAGGAAGCATCGTATAAGAATAGGAGACACTGCGCACCTTGGCCAGGCCTCCCTGCAGGGCGGTGCTCTTCCACTCCTCGATCTCATCCTTGAGTCGCGCGCAGTACGACGTGTCGCAGTGCAGGCCTGTCTCCGTCATGTCCGCCTCCTCGCGCCGCTCATGGGGAGTATAAAAGGCTCTACCTCTGTCCCACAAACGCAACAAAAGGGAGAAAGGGGACTGATGGCTCCACACACAGCAGCAACCGACAGGCAGCGTCAGCAAGAGGTCTATACACAAGGCGGCCCTCCGGACGCGGTAAGCAGCAGCTGCACTTCGCCCACAACAGCTCCTGCAGCGGGACGTAGACGTAGATTCAGCAGATGCCCACTGCGGTAGCGCGCAGCAACAAGAAACCGTAAAAGCAGGAAGCAGCAGCAGCACGGAACGATTACGACAGTAACAACAGGCACAGTCTACCTCAGGGTAGTGCCGTAGGCGGGGGTGCCGAAAGAGGCAGTTGACCCGATGATGGTGAAGAAGTTATCTTCGGAGATGGCCTGCATGGAGATGAGCTTGTCGATGAGACGTTTTGGGGACTGCACCCTGAGCTGCGCCCCACATTTTTGTATCAGTGCAGCCAAAAACAGCAGTAGAAGAACCAGCAGAAGGCACGGCCGGGACCCTGCTGCGACCATTCCCATCTTCCAACGTTCTTGCTGTGCAGCAGTAACACCGCAAAAATCTAGCACGCCTCCGCGGGGGAAACGTAAATCAGTGGGAATCGAAAGGGTGAGACGGCCTCCTAATACGTGCTACTCGAGAAGTCTGATGGGAGAGAAGAAGGCACACTGAGCAGAGGGGCGGAAGAGGCAGCGCAGAGCCCGCGCTGCAGCGGGTGTTTGAGCACATGAAATGAGAGGCGTGGTGCAGGAGACAATTGGTGGTGTCACAAGAACAACGAGAACCTCAAGAAGACATCCGCATTGATCAGAAAGCAAACAAATGAAACAAGAAGCGGGGCAGAACAGCACCAGCAACAGAAAAGCGTGCAAACACGGCGACGCCGCAGGGGGGCAGGCTGCCTGTGTAGCTGTACCCAAATGAAAAGCCAGACAAATACTCCCAAACAAGACTTAATTATCTTACTCTTCTCAATAATAACAAACAAAGGAGGGGAGGCTGGGGCTGGCTGGCTGTTAGACGCTGCATGCACTCTCGTTCCCTACGGGCTTTCGGCTCCACAAAACGCAACCAAGAAGCAGTTGTCTTCTTTTTCTTCCGGAGACTTAGGGGAAATGTTACTGCAGATAGTTGCTGAGGCTTATGCACACTGCTTCCCCAGAAACACACCTCTTCAGGAGTTGCCGTGTGGCGCTGAACTTCTGCAGTCGTTAAACACTTAAGCAGAAACACAGATATCACCATTGATGAATTGCGTGCTGCTGCAAGCATTAAATGAGTTCTCGGGACACCCTGTTTGGTCAGGTGGGAGTGGATAATCTGAGGTAGCGAATGCGCGGCGTAATGACCTTTGGTTCGCTTGATTTCGTTGACCCGCTGTTGGCGTTTGCTTAAGCCATTAGGTGTTTTCTTAGGCATTACTGCAGCGGAAGTACTGTGTACTAGCAGCTGGTTAGCATGGCGCAGAGCGCTGGGCGGAGGCGATGATGGCCACCTGTATAGGGAAGCCTTGGTGTAAGGGATGGACGGGTGGACTGGAATGAGCTGCAGTAGAGTCAAAAAACTTTGTACTAGAGTTCGTTCGAAGCAGCGGATCTCCCCTTCAACTTCCAGGCGTCCTGGGCAAAGCAGTGCAAGGGACTGAGGCCAGGACGGAGGGGGCCAAACTGTTATGGTGGAGCATGCCTTTTAACATGCCTGCAACTCATGTTGCAACAGAAAGCAATATGTGGTTGGACCCATATGCCCTCTGATGTATGCCCTAACCCCTCCGGCATTTCGAGACAACGACTTGGGCACTGCTAAGTTGCTAGGCCACTTGCAACCCGGTTAAGCGCTGCTTTGTAAAGAGCGGATCCCAACCGAAACAAAAATGTAATGAGCTGTTGCATAAGCGCAACGCCTTCACTTGAGGCTGGGTTCTAGCCAGCCCCAGAAGAGGGCCAGGCCCTAGGGAGGAAAGTAAAAATATTGTGAACAGCGGCGCTGAGACACCCAAAAAAGGGGAAGGGGCGTAGACCACACCAAAAAGCAATTGGCAGAGGAGAGCCAAAGCCCGTCTATGCAAGTGACAAGGCAACTGCCAACATGAGTGTACACAGTCGAACTTTGCGTTGGGATGCGCACGCCCAGCCTTGCTGTTTCCCCAACTGAATCGAGGACGGTTCGTAGATGCTCTTGCGGCATTGCTGAAGTGTTCCCCAGAAATCCACTCAAACTGCTGACCTCCTGCCCAGCTACTTTAATATTGTCATTAGCTGTGATGTTTGCCCGTCGTTACATGTATTTCCAGGATCTCATTCCCCTCCAGTTGTTCCTTGTCGATGTGGAGGTGCTGCCTTGTGCGGGGAGGCTTCAACCAAATTTTGGTGACTCCGTGAAATTTCAAAGAAAGCTAATATCAATAGTATGGTGACATACCCACGTTGGGGTTAATCCGACAATGCGGCAGATACGTTGACCTGAAAACGAGCAGAAGAAAACCCTATACTATACATGGCGACCTGCTTTTGCTGCTTCTCTTCCTGGACGCTTTGAGGAGTGTATGAATCCACTAAATGCCAAGTTGCCTGGGTTGAAAAGCAATGGCTAATTGGCTTTTGCCGTAGTTTCTTGCCTGAAGGTCCTCACCCGTCTTCGTACACTCCCGGGCGATGCCAGCTGTCTAGGGAGCGCTGCGGGTGTGAGCGCACGGGCATGGAGACGAAAACGTCGGATAACTCAATGGGTTTCGGTGTCGAGTTGCAGAGCCAGAGAATAAGGGGTCGCCTGATGTACTGACGTTATAAACTCGCTCCACATAAGAAAAACAATCCAGCAACTTCGATGAATTTTTCCGGGAATATAGTGGCAAACACTGCACTACAGTGCAGCTAATCAGTGCTATTCATCACTTAGAAGAGGGGATGGGAGCGCAGCTCAAGCCTCCCGGTCTCAACTAGTTGGTGCTATCCATTGTAGCTAGACTCTTCGACCTTAGCGCAGGACAGTCATGAGCTGCAAAAGAGTCAAGAAAATTGGTATGAGACTTCCCAAAAAGCAGCTGACCTCCCAGCCTAGTCTCCAGGCGTCCTGGCACAACGTCAACAAGGCATGAGGAGGGTTGGTGGAGGATGCGGCTGCCTTTGGTTGGAGCACCCCTTGCTGCATCTCTTGCTCCAAGGCAGCCACACATGCACGCATGAACAAGCCCCCATTGCTCGGTGCACTAGCCTTGTAGATAATTGTTAAACACGCACCTGGTCCTCAGCACGTAGTCTGCATGCAAGAAAGCACTCGCGTACCAATCTCAGAGACGGCATGCTGCACCGGTCTCCCCCTACTGCAACACGGGTCGAGTAAGTCGAGTGGGTCGAGTAGGTGACTTGGCGTTGCAACATCTTGCCACCTCCCAGAAATGAAGCGAGACCTCAAATTGGCTAGAGAAGATTATCATACAGAAGTGCAACCCGAGCGGGAGCCCCTATACATCATTTGTCTTTACACACGTTGAGACAACACCGGCGGCCAACCAGATTAAGCACCTACAGTGCTGTTTCATCGAGAGCTGTATAATACATTTTATTGTATAGAAGGCCGTGCCGAGCGACGCCCATTCCAACACAAACGGTGTTGTTGGAACCGCTTCAAACTGGACGACCCACTCCCATCAATCCAACTAGATGTTCCTAATAAATTAAAAAGGGCGAAAAACCTCTGATACCTGCTAATGTTATTCCTTAACCCGCTTCTCCGTCTATGCCGCAAGCGCCGGCGGGGCCCCTCCCAGGGCTGGCTGCAGTCAAGGGGCAGGCTCTGTCGAAGTGATCCAATTAGAGTTAACAACGCTCGAATACTTGAAAGATTAGGAGGAACATTTTCTCTTTAGAAAGACATAGCACTGAAGGAGCCCCCTTCCTGCAGCAGGTGCCGTACTGGTGCAGTAGCTGGCCGTCACCGCCACTCGCTGCGTCAACTCTGCCTTTAGAGACATATGACTACAAACCTGTAGCAGAGCACCTGCATGCAGATTGTTACAGTATAGGCTGTAGTTGGCTGCTGAAGCCGCTGCGCGTATACCCCCTGGCGTAGGACCGACAGTAGCAGCAGCAGCTGCTGCTGTTGTTGTGAAACTGCTTGTATCCCTCATCTCTAGACCAACTCCAAGGCTGCTGCACGTGAGTAGGGCGACTGCAAGTGCCTGTCATTGTCACTGCAGCAGCAGCGGCAGGAATGGCCCATTCAGCATCGGCAGCAGCAACAGGCGGCTATCGAGCGGCTTCAAAGGAGCAGCAGCACATTAGCAGCAGCAGCTGAATGTGTATGGAAGAAGGCCTACAGAAGCTGTTTTTGGAGGGTGTCGACGAAGAAACACTGCAGAGACTCACCGCTGCTCCACACGAGCAGCGCCGGTTCAGCCGTAACAACACAGGAGCAACTGAGGCAGCACCAGCAACGAAAGCAGCAGCAACCACCGGGAAGCAGGCCTCCCGAGAAGAGCCCCAGTTCTGGCGCATTTTCGCTGTGCTCCTGCATCACACTGGGTGAGCCTTCTGCTGCTGTTGCTGCTGCTTTCCCGAGTACGCCCAGCGGCAACACCAGCAGCGACAGCAGCAGCCTCTGATGCTGCTGCTGCAACAGCATCCGCTGCGGTTCATTGGCAGCAAAGAGACCGCGGGGTCTGTTGAGGGACTGACTCCCTGGCGATGCTGCAGGGGGCGGGGCCTCTGGCGCAGCCACCCTTTTCCGTCCCGTTAGATGCCTGCAGCCTTGACCAGCAACAGCAACAGCAACAGCAGCAGCTGGGTTGTACACCTCAACAACACCAGCCGTTGCAACAAGAATGCAACAAGAGATCAGAAGAGGAGACACTTTGGGAAGGGAGGGGCTCCTGCGGCAAGAGCTTTCCTTACTACGCCAACAACAGCAACAGCAGCAACAGCAGCAACAGCACCATTAGCGTCCGGCGCACCGCTGGGAAGTCACAAAGCCGGGAGTATGGACAGGGCGAGATAGCGTTAGTAGACAAGTGTAGAGAGCAACAACCTGCGACACAGCCCGCACAAACACACTTGCTGCAACAAGAGCTGCAGCAAGAACTGCAACGAGAACTGCAGCAAGATCTGCAGGGAGAGCTCAAGCAGAAGGCGGAGCAGCGAGAAGACGATGCTTTTTCTACTTTTGTGCCTTGGCCTGGGCGTACGAGCAGCTACAGGCGGCCAGCAGCAACAGCACCAGCAGTAACGGGAGCAGCTACAGCATCGACACCAGCAGCAGCAACAGGGGAGTGTACGGGTACTTGGAAGCGTGAGTTTGAGTTGCTGCAGCAGGGATTAGCAGCAGCAGCAGTAGTCAGCAGCAGCAGCAGCGGGCGCAGCAGAAACGAGTCATCTGTGGGCCGTGCAGTGCGGCGGCAGGCGTCGAGGCTGAAGCGGCTTACAGCCAATTTCTTAACTCGCTCTCTATCAAGCACGTCTGCGGGTTCAGCAATGGCGAGGGGCTCCCCACACGGGCGTCCTCCTCCCCTGGATAGCCGCGTCTTTGTCGGTGAAGATGCACTGCTGGCTGAGTTGCCTCTCGAGGTGGAGGAGAGTTTGCTCGATCCCTTCTTGTCTTGGTAACTAAACAGCACTTGCATGCACTCTGCCATAGAGGACACAAAAAGGTTTTGGGGTTCCAATATCAAAGCAGCTGTCTTCTCTCATGCCGCCTCAGCTGCGTCTTCACCTGGTGAAGGTCTTGTTGCAAGACCTTCACCTGGTGAAGGTCTTGTTGCAAGCAGCAGCAGGCGTTTAAGTGCGGCTGTGTGGCAGCTGGCTGTTAGTTTCTACGTGTTGATATGCGTGGGGAGCATGCGCTGTGGTGTATGTGCAGGTCCTGCACACAAAATTCGATAGATAGGAGACGCAGTGGGGAGCTCGGCTTGCTGACGCTGCTCAATCACTCCACTCCTCTTAAACTGGCTGTCCCCTTGGATACAGACAGCAGCGGGCCTGCTGGTTCTGCGCCTGATGCTGCTGCAGCTGCAACAATGCCGCAAGCATCAGCGGCAGCAGCGGCTGCGCCGGGTCCTTGTCCCTACATACTACCCTTCGAAGATATCGTGAAGCAACTCGGCCCCCTGATACCCAGGTAGACTGCAGCAGTTCCTGGTGTTCACGCGCTCTTGTTTCTTGCGGCTGTTGCTGCAGCACCACTTCATTTCTCTGTTGCGCCTACAGCAGCACCCTGTTGTTCGGGGTGCTGCAACTCGCTCTGGCTGTTGCTGCCGCTGTAGCACGGTTGTTGTTGCCGCCGATGGGGAGCCGTGCTGCTGCTGCCGTTGCTGCTGTTGCTGCTGCTGCAGGCCATCCAGCATCGATGCTCCTGAGGCAAGGAGAAGCTTAGGGGAAACCGAAGTTGAAGCAAGCACAGGAGACGCAGGAACAGTTGCCCGTGTTGATGCAGCAACAGCAACTGCTGCCGCTAGCGGCCTCGCAACACCGAGTAGCGCTCATGTTTCTGCATCAGCCCCAGAATCTTCAGCTGATCAGGGGAATGCGGCTGTTAAACTTGATACGGAAGCTGCTGCGGGCGAAGCAGACGGCGGAACGCTTGCTGCAGCACGCACACCTCTTGATGTTGACGATGCCGCTGGTGCCAGGGGCTCAACAGGAACAGGAGAAGCATCAGCAGCAACAGCAGAGGAAACGAATGCAGCAGAAGCGTCATTGCATGCAGAAGGGGCGGAAGAAGCAGGTTTAGCAAAGGTAGCAGTAGCAGCACTAGCACCGGCTCACGCATTAGGAGCGGACTTTGACACAAAGATAGCAACATATGCAGCATCAGAAACAGCAGGAGCAATGGAAGCAGCTGAACTTGCAGCAGAAGTGCCTGAATTGACGGCAGCAAAAGCAGCAGATGTAGAAACAGCAGCAGAGCCAACGCGCGCAGGCATCGATGCTGCAACAGAACCAGCTTTGTTAGCCAAGGGAACGGGAGAAGCAACAGAATACGAAGAAAACTTCGCCGCCGAGAGTACGGGGGCCGGGTACTTACTATCAGCAGCAGAAGTAGCCGACGCAGCAGCAGCACCAGAAGCAGTTGATGCAGCCGCAGCCGAAGCAGCACAAGCACGATGGGAAGGATGGGAGGAGCCTCGTTCTGCTGCCAAAGCGCCGGAAGCAGCATACGAGGGGACGTCGGAAGCAGCAAAAGCAGAAGAAGCAGAAGCGGCAGCAGAAGCAGCAGTGGAGATAGCAGCAGAGGGGCGGTTTCTAGCCGCCATAAGGGGGGAGGAGACTCCATCAGCATTGGGAGGCATGCGCACTGAGTATTGGGAACGAAACTTTCCAGCAGCAGCAGCTGCTGCATCGGTAGGAGCAGCAGCAGATGCAACAGAAGCTGAAGCAGCAACAGGCACATGCAGCCCGATGGGGGATGAGTCGGGTGTCGATGAATTATATGGCAGCCGACTGACGACCAGCTCGTAAGCTCTGCTGCTGCTGCGGCATATTGCACAGCGTCTTCTGCTTGTGCTGCAGTTGCTGCTGCAGTTGCTGCTGCTGTTGCTGCTGTAGTTTCTGCTGACCTTCTGACGGCTGTGTGATGAGGTTTGCGCCGTCTCTGGTTGCGATTTGCGCGTGGTGTTCCCGCTGATGCTGCTGCTGTCGCTGCTGCTGCTGTTCCTACTGCTGCTGTTGTTGCAATAGCTTCAGCTGCTGCTATGGCTTCTTGTACGTGACGTGTTGCTGCTGCAGGCAGCCGTTGACTAGTCGAGGCGGCGAAGAGGACGCAGACACTCTGGAGGCGCGTCAGCTGCGGCTCGGCCTTTCCGCCTTCCCCGAGTGGCTGATGCAGGTGGACGCCGACGCTGACGAGCAACGGCCAAATCCCTACAAGGCCGTTCGTCTCAGAAAGTAATTTACACGCTGCTGCTGTTGCTGCTGCTGCTGTTGCTTCTGCTGCTGCTGCTGGTGGGGTTGTGTTGTTTGGCAGGTGTTGTTTGGTGCTGCCGTTGCTGTTTGGTGCTGCTGTTGGGGCAGCCATTGGTGGGGACACAGCTGGTGGCTGTCTGGTGCTGCTGGTGCCTGTGCTGCTGATACCTCTGGTGCTTATGGTTGATGGTAATGGTGCTGCTGCTGTTGCTGCTACTGACAACGAGGGTGGGGTTTTATGTGTTTCTGGCAGGGGCCGTGCTCATGCAGTAGCAGCAGAAGCATCGTCGGCTGCTGCTGTTGCTGTGTGCGGAGTTGGGGGTGTCTACGGCATGTGCGTGACGTCTTCTGCTGCCGTCTGCGTTCATTGCTTGCTCGTTTGTGTGCTGCTGCTGCTGCTGCTGCTGCTTTTTGCTGCAGGACCGGTTTGCTGCCAGGGCGCGAAGATGGAAAAAGCGATGAGGCGACGGCTCGGCGCATCCGCGCTCGGCTCGACTGGATGAAGAGCTGCGCAGCTAAGGGGAAGCAGCAGAGTCGGCAGGCGAATACTTCGGACAGAGGAGCAGCAGTAGCAGCAGATGCAGCAGCAGCTACACCGGATGCATTGAGCCAGTCGAAGAGCAGCAGCGTGTCCACAGCACCCGACGCAGTATGGAGAAGGCGAGAGGCGCAGCAGCAACAAGGAAGGCGCGCGCAAGGCCCCCCAAGAAGCGGTCTTTGCAGCAGCGACCCGCAGCATCCTGCGGAAGCCGATGATTTGGGTAGGGCCAGTTGGCGGTAGATAATGCAAATTTGTGCTGCTGCACTTGGTGCAGCAGCCCTGCGGCAGATTGACAGCAGACCTGCAGATGCCCGTGCATCTGGGGCGAGGAAGCATCTGTATGAATGCAGACCTGTAGCAGATACTGGGAAGCAGCTTGTGACTGTTTGTATGTCTTTTGTTGCAAGCATCTGCATGCATGTTGCTGTGCTGTAATTCCACTGTGCTGCTGCTGCTGCGCAGGCCCCGAGGGGCTCACAGCATCTGAGGCCAAAGGGCATTCAGTGGCGGCGCTGCGGGCGCTGTTCGAGCGAAGCCGCGCAGCCTGGTTTGAAGGAGAGGTGAGAAGGAGACAGAGGAGGAGACAACAGAGATAGTGCTGAGAGCCATTAAGGCAACTAGACTCTAGCTACTGTGCCCTGATGAGACCCCGCTGTCTCCACAGCGCGAACTGAGCAGCAAGCAGCATAGCAGGGGTGCGTCACGGGGGGCAAGACGGTGGGGGCTGCGCTTCTCTGCTGTTTTCTATGACAACAGCCTCTATGCCTTCTTTGCTTGTGCTGCGTGCAGCTGCAGCGCTTCTCGCAGATCAGCGACACTGGGGACCCCACAAAGGCCAGCGGGGGCCGCTAGCTGGGGATCGGATTCCGCCGATCAGCAGCACAGGGGGCAGAAGAGTCCCAGCTGGCCGCACAGCCTTGCCCCGGTAGCCGCGGCGGAGGCGACCGAGCTAGTTAGCTAGCTGGCTTGCTATGTCGTGGGGTGGCTAGCACCCTTGTTGCTGAGTAGCTTAAGTGCAGCTCCTTAAAGGGGCCGCAACAGACTCTTTCAAGTATTTCTCCTTGAGGGGCACTGGCTGATACCGGCAGTTGTCTAGAAATAGGTACCGGTCTCCTATGCACATATTCGTGTGCCTAGAAAGCCACGCGCCCCACAACGCATGCGTTTGTTATTTTTCTGCCTAAAGAAAAAGAGGAGGGAACACCGCCCTCAGCAGAGTACATCTGATGAAGTTTCCTACGTCGATTCAGTTTAGGGCTACCAGCTCTGCTCTCGAGCTGCTCGCGCCCACGCGGATTAAAAATGCGTCTGCATGCGGGGGGCCACCTAGCTAGCGGGTTAGCTAGCTAGCCGGGGGGATGCGCTAGCTACGCGTAGCTAGCTAGCTACGCAGTTAGTTAGCTAAGCAGATAGCAAGGCTATCGGCCAGCTAGCTACGCATCTAGCTAGCAAACTAGCCGGGTAGTTTGCTACAAACTACACAGGGCCGCCCCACACGACACCTGCGGTGCCTCCAGCCACCGAAGCCCGTTAGGTACACCCCATTACAAGGGACCGTAGGGCGTTTCTTTAAATGGGTCTCGCTCTCTTCTTGCCTTCGGCAACTGCACAAGAAGAGATACTGACACGAATAAACACACTGACACAACAATCCTTCTAAAAGGGCCCCCCTAACAGCGCCATTAAAGAAGAGTCAAGCGGCTCCGAGGCCGTCCCTCCTGCAGAGACGGAGACAATCCCTGCAGGGTCTGTCCCCTCTGGTGGCACACCCAAAGTGTCTCCAGCTGTCTCCTCTCCCAACAGCGCCAGCAGGCCGCCGCCGCTGCTGCTGGAGGGCGGGGCCGGTACTGCAGCAGATCAACGCACACACAGGAAATGCACACAAGCGGCACTTTCTGGCTGCTGCGCAGCACCCTTTTGGTGGAGCTCCTGCTGCTGCTGCAGACACTGACTGTTCCGCTCTGTTGCTGACTGCAGCGACCTCACAGGCAAACGCGCTGCCAGCTGCGTAGACACCTCAGCATCAACACAGATTCATAAACACAAAAGAGTCAACCAGCCGCAGAGCGGCCCGCATGCAGACATATGCATGTGCTTGCAAAAACAGACTGACAGACGGTCTACCCACCTGCAGCAGCAACAGCCCCATTCCCTAACGCCCTGGGGGGCGGTTCCTCGTCTGAGTCGTTAAAGGGCTGACAATGCAACTCCCTCCGGATGGACCCGTGAAGCTGCACATATGCCCCCAAAACCCCACAACAGCCGCAGTTCGATATTGCTGCTGCAGCAGGTTTTGATGCTGCAGCAGCTGCTAGTGGTGCTAGGGCAGGGAAGATCAACCTGCGGTGTCTGTACATGCAAGTTGTGGGGTCCGTACCTGCTCGTACGTCTGCAGAGACAGTGAACGCTTCCGAGACAGCGCCGCCTCCACCTGCGCTGCGTTTCTTTTTTCTTCTATTTTTAGTTTTCTCTTCAGCTGGCCGTCTGTCACTCCAGGCATCATTGTCTTAATCAGCAGCAAGTCCGTGCCGCAGCAAGACAAACACTCATAAAACCTATAACACACCAATGCACCCCAGCAAAAGTACGCATGCACACGCCCCCTACAATTCGTGCTCACAATTCAGCACCTGCCGCTGCTGCTGCTGCTGCTGCTGCTGCTCATGGGGCCCGTAAACAACGCAGCCTACTTGCGCGTTTCCTCTTCGGTCCAGCGCTTTCGCTTGGTTTTCTTGTATGCCCCTTCATAAGGCTGCAGCAACAGCAAAAGCAGCACCAGCAGCAATCAGAAGTAACACACATACACACCCCCTTACACACCCACACCCACACACGTAGACACGGAAGCATATTTAAGAAGAGACAGCGGCAACGTCAGGGAGACACAGCCGCAGCAGCAGCAGCACTGCACCTGCAGCGCGAAGGCTCCTCTTGAGGTCAGGTCTTCCTCAAGAACTCGTCGCTGCTGGCCACTTGAACATACGCAGGTTCCTCCCAACAACCCTGGCATGCCAAGGCACCTGTAAGCACATTTCAGCACCACCCTCCACTGCTCTGTTGCTGCTGCTGCTCCTGCTGCTGCTGCTGCTGCTGCTGAGGCTAGTGAAGTGACTGTCGCTGATGAAGCAAAACATACCTGCAGCAAAATGCCTCTTTGGGCCCATCTGCTACCACCAGGTTCCCGGAAGAGTCAAGGCGCAGTGAGTTCGCGCCTCCTGTGGTGCGACAGCAACAACAGCAGCAGCAGCAGCAAAAGCAAATAACACCCACAGAAAAAAAGAAAAGAGGGGCCGTTATGGAAGCAGCAACTCATCAACAACAGCATACAGTAGCTGTCTGTTCCCCCCTACCGGCGTCTCCAGATGGGGCTTCGAAGAGCCCCTCAAGATCCGTCCCATCTCCGCTTGCAGCTGAAGGCGTACTCCCAACCTGACGCTGCTGCTGCTGTTGCTGCTGCTGCTGCGGGGTCGGGGAGAGTAGCAGCGCGAAGGGATCGTCGGCCTGGTCAGCGCCGCCCTCTGTTGTCTGAAGGGACAGGAGACAGTAGGAGACAGATGCAAATAGCCCGCACGCTCGTCCCTTGACTTATAGCACCTCAATAGCGGCACTGCAGTGCGCCGCCAGTAAAGAAACACAGTAGGCATAACTCACGCCCTTTGCTGCTGCAGCAGCACCCCTTCGTGCTGCTCTATCTGCTGCTGTTTTCTTGCAAATGTTCCGCTTAACTAAGTCCCACAGCGTCACCGGCTCTGCAACACCAGCAGCACCTCACAACTGCAAAAGCCTGCTGCTGAAGCAGCTCCCCCAAAGCAATAGCAATGGCACAAGCAGCAAGCAGCAGTAGCAACAGCAGCAGCGATCATCTCTGACAGAAGCTGCCGCAGCACCCGGAATTGGAGTAACGGCACGGGCAGCAGCAATCCACGTACTGTTCGGAGCCGCTGCTGTCTTTTGAATAGCAGCGTCTGCTTGTGGGGACACTTCATCTGCTGCAGCAGCAGAAGCAGCACCGCCACGTTTCTCGCGGCTGCTGCCGCAGCTCCTCTGAGCCCTGCCCCTCGCTGCTGTGCTGCTGCATCCCTTTGCGTTTTTGCGTCCCCTCTCTTCCTTTCCAGCAGCAGCAGCAGCTGCTGTTGCTGCTCCTCTGCGAAGTCGCCGCCCAGGGCGGGTGGGGGTCCGTGTGGGAACGAAATCTTCGTCGCTGCTGTCGGCTGCTGCTGCCACACCCACACCCACAGATATGCAGCAGCAGCAGCAGATCCACAAGACATAGCATCAATGCAGCAAAAGAACCAGCAGCAAATGAAGCAAAGGCATCGGCAAGCAAAGACCTACCCTCCGACTCCTCAGCTTCGTCGCTGGTGCTGTTGCTGCTCTCGCTGGAGCTCCTGCTGCTCTCACTCGTGCTGCTGCTGAAAGTCTCTGCACTGCAGCTCCTTTCGCTGTCGCTCCTGCTCTGGCCTTTAACTTCTCCAGGCGATCTGCGTGCTGTTGCTGCCTTGGAGGCTGCTGCGGCAGCAGGCCGGAGAAGGCGGTGCCGCTTGCTGCCGCTGCTGTTTCTGCTGCTGCTGCTTAGTTCCTTTTCAGCTTCAACATGCATGCGCGCTTGCTGCTGTCGCAGCTGCCGCGGCACTATCTCTCCGTGCTGCTGCCGCTGCAGCTCCCCAGCGTTGCCATCTTCTGCCGGACCGGCACTCTGGGCTTCTTGGGCTGCTGCAGCTGCTGCTTCGGTAGCTGCAGAGACAGAGGGAGCCGCAGTGTCGGTCAGACCCTTCTCACCTCCAGGTGCGTCGCCACCGCTGCTGCCGTTGCTGCTGTTCCTGCTGCTGCTACTCTCGTTCGCTGCTGCTGCAGTGGTTGGAGACTCAGTGTGATTCTCACCCCCTGATGATGCTGCTGATGCGCCTCCATCACCTCCCTCAGCCCCAGAGATCCAGGAGTCCTCCAAAGCAGCAGCAGCAGCGGCAGCAGCAGCAGCCCGGCGGGTGTGCCCTTTGCTGGGCGAGCTGGGAGGAGCTGCACCGTGCTGCTGCACATAGGAAAACGCAGGAGGCCCAGGCGGAGGCGCAGCAGCATCTGCTTCTGGCCACCGCCGCGGGCCCCCCGGAGGGATGCCTAGGTGCTGCTGCGGTGCAGTGAAGTAAGGTTGCTGCTGAGCTGCAGTAGATGGCGCGCCCGCCTTATGTTCCACCTCTGTGTCCAGCTGCCTTGCCGTAGCAGCAAAGGCAGCAGGAGGAGCAGAAGGCGAATTTGATACATTCAGGGGGCGTGCGACGGAATGCTGCTGCTGCTGCTGCTGTGGCATCACCTGCTGCACCTGGCCTTGCTGCTGCTGATAGGCCGGAGGTCTCTGCAGCGGGCGCTGCGCCTGCTGCCAACCCATATCTGGACTAAGCATGCTGTGGGGTTGCAGCTGGTGCTGCAGCAGCACGTGCTGCTGCATTTGCTGCTGTCGTGGGTGGTCCTGCAACGGGGCAAGCATTGCACCAGGACCACCAGACAGCCCAGGCGTACCAGCTGCTGCAGCAGCTGCTGCTGCAGCACCAGCCGAGCCATCAACTGGCAAGGGGCCTCGCAGCACTCCACTGGGAGAGTTGGCTGGGGGCAGCAGCCACTGTTGCCGCTGTTGCTGCTGCTGCTCTTGCTGCTGTGGCTGTTGCTGCTGCTGGGCAGGTCGGAAGGCCTGTGGCAGCGCCTGAGCCGTCTGCTGCAGCGCTTGGGGTGTCTGTTGCATAGCCGGCTGCTGCTGCAGCTGTTGCTGCGGCAGTGGGCGGTGCTGCTGCTGCGGCGGCCCCCTTGCTGCCTGGACTTGTTGAGGAGCAGCAACGGGCTGCTGCTGCTTCTGCGCTGGTGACTGTTGTTGGTGCTGCTGCATACTCGGAGTTAATGAGGTTTGAGGGTGTGAATTTTGTTTGGTGCTGGATTGTTGCATCTGCTGCTGCGGCCGCTGTGGCTGCGGCTGCTGTTGCTGTTGCTGCTGGTGCTGCTGTCCCTGCTCCAGCTGCTGCTTCTTCCAAGCCTCGTTTGCTTCGCGGGCGCGGGACTGAAAGCTTCGCTTCTCTTCCGCCGAGAGCTGCCTCCACCTGCAGAGACACCGCAGCAGCCAGCTATCCCTGTTGCTTCTGCCCTTCCTGCTGCTGCAGCGGCCAACTAACTCCGCTACTGCTGCTGGTACCCAGCAGAAGCAGCAGCAAAGGAGTATACAAACGAGCAGCATAGCACAGGAACAGCAGCAGACCGTCTGCGGCTTGAATAGAAGTGCCCCTCCGCACCCTGCCTAATGCAACTCTTCTTGAGTGTCTCTAATACTTTTGTCTCTACATCTGCATCTTGCTCTATCTCGGTTCTGGCTCTATCTTTGCTGCTCTCGCTTTGTTACCGTCCCTGTCTATGTCTCCTTCACTGTCTCCGTCTCTCTTCTACTCACACGCACATGCTGCTGTGTTGCACTCTGACCCTTCTTCTGTCTCCGTCAATATGCCTGTTCCCTCTATCTGAGTTTTTTTACTGTCTATGTTCCTGTGTCTGTCCCCTTCTCTCACTTGCCGTCTCCTTTCTGTCTGTCTTTTAGTCTCTTTTAATACTTCTCTCTCTCTTTTTTGTCTCTCTTTGTCTCTGTCTACTGTTTTTGTGGTGTATCTGCCTGTGCCTCTGTGCTTCTTTCCGTCTCCCCCTCTCCCTCCCTATCCCTGGCTCTGTTCCCCGCTCCCCCTCCGTGTATATATGTGCACGCATGCCTTCAGGTGTCTGTCTCCTAGTGCATTTGTGTAAATATACATATCCATATAATATATATATATATCTGTGTGTGCGTGGGTGTCTCCGTCCCTGTAATTATCTGCGTCTCTGTGTGTATTTGTGTTTTATGTTTGTCTTTGCGTGTATCTGTGTGTTTCTTTTTCTCTACATCTTTGCATGCGTTTGTTGTTTAATTGACCTGTCTCCAATGAAGGTGTTTTGCTCGCTCAGAGAAGCACCGCAGTCTATGCCCATTTCTTTGCAGTTAAGACGGGTCTCTCGCGCAAACAGAGTAAATGCTGTATAACCCCTTTGGCTGTTTGTCTTCTCTCCAGGGCCTCCTCTCTTTCGTTTCTTAGGGGCCGTTAAAGGGCTCTTCTTTGCAAAAGAACTCTGCTGCTGCTGCTCCTGTTGCTGCTGCTTATGCATACCCGCAGGAGATGGCGTTTGCTGCAAAGCTTGCTGCGGCCTCGGATGGGCCCCACCGCTGCCTACAGGTGTTGCCCCATGCTGCTGCTGCTGCTGCTGCTGCTGCTGAGAGCTCTGAGGGGTACTCCGCTGCGCTGTCGCGTGCACCCCATTGCTCGGTGCTACTGAGGGAGTGCTGGGCTGCTGCTGCTGTTGCTGCTGCTGTTGCTGTTGCTGTTGCTGTTGCTGCTGCGACTTCTTCTCGTCTTCCCTATCCCGTTCTCCTGCTGCAGCGACAAACAAAGACAGACGCTACTCAGCTTGAAGTCAGGCCTCCCCACCGCATTAAATACACGAACAGCACCACCAAAAGATGCAGCAAGCATCAGCAAGGACAGCAGCAGGTGCAGCAGCAGCAGCAACCCCAAAGGCGAAACAGCAGCAGCAAACGCGGCAAGCGCAGCACCCCCCGACATATGCCCACAGCACTAAGAGTAGCAGGAGCACCAATAAGCGCCGCCATCGCAGCAGCAGGTAAAAGGGAGAAACAGCACCCGACGCAGAAGAAGCAGCACAAGACTAGCAGCAGCAGTCCCAGCAGCAGCAGCTCACCTGCAAGTCGGTTGAGCTGTTCTGCTCTACGTCCCCAGGCCTCCTTCCCGTCTTTGGAGAGCGCATGCCAAAACTTCGCCACGCAACTCGTCTGCAACAGCAGCACATCAGGTAAGCTGGTATAGCAACAGCAAAACAGCAGCAGCAGCAACAGCGAGCGCAGCAGTCCCAGCAGCAGCAGCAAAGGCAGTAGCTGTAGAAACAGCAAGAGCAGCAGCAGATGCCGAGACAGCAAAAAGGAAGCAACAGAAGCAAGAGCCACAGATGTACAAGCAACGGCAGCAGTGGAGGCAGCAGCAGCGAGAGCAGCAGCAGCAATAAACACACACCTGCTCTGGAAGCGTGTCTCCTGTGAGCTGCCCGTTCTGCAGCAACTCCAACCTCTTCTCTTTCGCAAACAAAGCCCAGCCCGACATGCCTACTCCTGAAGAAGCAGCAGCAGCAGCAGCAGCAGCCGCACCAGCTCTGACCAGCAGCATCTCGCTGGGGGTCGCAGCAAGACAGCAGCACCAACTGCTGCAGTGACACGGACTAGTGAGCAGCAGCACCGACTGGAAGCTGCCACAACAGCCATGCTACAGCAGCAACAGCAGCACATCCTTGCTAACCCTTTCGCGAAGTCTTCTTCTGCTGCAGCCCCGCAGGGCTGCTCTTGCTGCCAGCACTCTGCTGCTGCTGCTGCTGCTCGCTTGCTTTCAAAGTTGCATCAGCAACCCGTACCCCTGCAGTAGCCGAGGCATTCGACTGCTGCTGCTGCTGCTGCTGAGACGGTGCAGGGGGTGGCGACGTCGGTTGGCCGCCTGCAGCAGAAGCTGGCGCGGAAGTCTTCGCTGCACTCGGCGCAGCAGCAGCAGCAGCAGCAGCGTCCTCCGTCGGCGGCTGCCGCTGCGTCAGCAGCAGCTGCACCCCCAAATGCTGCAGCATGTGCGCCTGATCACGAAACTGCGCGAACAAACAGCAGCAGCAGCAGCAGCAGCACACACCTGAGTAATACTACTGCTGCTGCATCATAATTGCTGCTGTAGACAGAAACACACACGGAAACTAGCGGCAGCTCCAGAAGGAGTCACGAGGGGAACCCCGGAGGGTTTAGCGAGAAAGCTGCTGCAGCAGCAGCTGCTGCTGCTACTGCAGCTGCCGATGCAGACGCACGCTGTGCAGTTGCTTCGGAAGCTGAATCAACACATTTGCAGGTAAAGACTCCAAACGCGATACCACCTGCAACAACGTGTGGGCTGCTTGCTTCTGTTGTTGTTGCTGCTGCTGCTGCTGCTGCTGGTGTTGCGGTTGTTGCTGCTTCTGCTGCTCCCACAGATGCGTTACTGTCTGCAGCAACGCCTCGCGAGCTGCAGCAACGTTGGGATCGCCCCGAGTAGCAGCTCCCCGGGACCCCAGGCGATGGAGCAGCTGCAGCAGCCGCGCTCCCATCTTGGTTCCCTCTGCTGCTGCTGCTGCAACGGAACTGCTGCCGGCTTCTTCTGCTGCTTGCACAACCTGCGAGCATTGCTGCTGCAGCTGCTCGCCAGTCAGAAGCAGCACCTCCACAAGCAGCAACGACAAGACCTTCTCCTTGCTATCTACGGAGACATGGGGGTCAAGTAGCGCTGGCCGCAGCTGCGGCCGCACCCGAGTGAGGTGCAGCAGCAGCAGCAGCAGCTGCTGCTGCTTCTGCCGAGGCAGCAGCGGTTCCCGGTGCCGCTCAAGCTGCAGCATGTGGCGGTGCAGCAGACCCTCCAGGGTCTGCAGCAAAGGGAGCGCCTCCAACACCTCTTGTATCTTTTGCTCCTCAGCAGCAGCAGCTGCTGCTGCTACTTCTTCGGTGTCATCGTCACTAGCCGCAGCAGCCGCAGAGCTCTCCGCTTCCGCTGTTACTGCTGCTGTTCCCACTGGGTTCTGCTCCTCTGCAGGATCCCCTGCGGAGCTGCCGAGATTGCTGCTGCCGCCTGCAACAGCAGCGGCTGGCCCGTCAGCATCTTGGCTGTCATTAGCTGCAGCAGGAGCTGCCACCGCTTCGCGAGCTGCTGCTTCCTTTGCCGCAGCAGCAGCAGCAGCAGTAGAAGCAGCAGCAGCAGCAGCAGCAGCGTAGCTCTGGCTCCTGAGCTGGAGCCGCCCAGGCTCACTCCCCCTCGCAAACCAGAGAAAGATATCTCGGTGGGCAGCAGCAGCCTCTGCAGCAACATGCATAAAAACCGCACAAGTCCAGCAGCAACAACACATCCCGCAACAGAAGGAGCAGCAGCAGCAGCAGCACCAGAGAGCAGCAGCGACTGCGACACTGAAGCACGGTACGTAGGCCCGATAGAACAGCGCAGCCCAGCAAAGCAAACGATAACCCTGAGCAGCTGCAGTAGCAGCAACAGACGCAGCAGCGGCAGCAGCAACAGGTGCAGCGACAGAAGCAGCAGCAGCAGCAGCAGCTACAGAACGGACCTGTTGCAGCCTGCTCCAGGGCATTTGCAAAAGGGGGGGCCTTCATTTCTGGCTGCTGTAGAGGCAGCAGACTTGCCTCGTCAAAAGCAACTGAAGCAGCAGCACAACAGCAACAAAGGCAGCAGCACAGCAGCAACAGCAGGAGCTGAAACACTATTCCTTCTATAGAAGCAACACCGATTCCCTCCCGTCGCAGCAGCAGCCAAGAGTGCTGCCGCTGCACCACGGAAAGAGGCAGCAGCACAATGCCGAGCAGCAAAATCAGGTGATATCTGCATGCAGCAGCAGCAGCGGCAGCAGCAGCAGCAGCAGCAACGGCGGCTTACAGTCAAGCATATCTTCTTGCTGCTGCTGCACCATCGGCAGCGGAAAGTCCAGCTGCCTCTGGTAAACCCGCGGCTGCAGCAGGGCCTCCTCCCCATGCAGCAATGAGAGGGGAGGCCGCCAAGCTGGCAGCAAACGCACGCTGCTGCTGCAGGCACATCTTCGCCTTCCAGCAGCAGCAGCACCATTCTTCTTGTGCCCTTTGCTGCTGCCTCCCTTGCGGCGGCGGCTACGGTGTGGACGCCGGTTGGTGCTGTTCGCAGCGTCATCTGCTGCTGCAGCGCCAGCAGCTGCAGTATCAGCTGCTGCAGCAGCAGGATGACTTGCTGCAGAAGTATCTGCTGCTGCACAATCAGCTGCTGCACATACTGGCGCTTCTACTACTGCTGGTGGGCTCGCTCCTTGTTGCCCTCCCTCAGCAGCAGCTGCTCCAGGCGCAGCATTGGCAGCAGCAGCAACAGAAGCAACTGCAGCAACGGAAGTGGCAGGAGCTGCAGCAGCAGGAGCTACAGCGGCAGCAGCCACTATGGGGGTCTCGCCATCCCCCAAGTGTAAACCGCCGCCACTGCTGCTGCTGCTGCTGCTGTTGCTGCCGCTACATGTAGGGTATCCAAATGGCTGAGAAGCTGATACCACAGGCTCCGTACTGCAGCTGTATCTTTCACAGCCGTTGTTGCTGCTGCTGCTGCTATTGCTGCTGCTGCTGCTGCTGTTGCTACTGTGGCTGCCGCAAGATGCAGTGGTGGAAGTTGCGGGATCGGATACTCCTAAGGCCGGGTGACAAAGCTCCCGGCAGCTACTACTATTGCTGCTGCTGCTGCTGCTCTCCCTGCTGCTGCTGCTGCTGTCCCTGCTGCTACTGCTGCTGCTGGGGGCGGGAGGTGGCTGGAGAGGCACCTCATTCGCCAGAAGGGACGGCTGCAGCAACTCCAGCGGGTTATTACTGCTGACGTGCTGCTCGGCTGCTGCAACAGGAAGAGGCTGCAACAGATGCGGCAAGCCTTGCTGCTGCTGCTGCTGCAGCTCGTCTGGCTGCAACAGCTGCTGCTGTCCATCGGGGTTCGGAGGCTGCTGCGAGGGGGGCATGAGAAAGGGCGTTTCGTGGGGCTGCTTCAGCAGATGCAGCGGCGGCAGCTTCTGCATTGTCTGCCAGCTGCTGCTGCAGCAGCTGCTGCTGCTGCTTATGTCGTTGCTGCTGCTGGTAGTAGCCCTCCGCAGCAAATCCCTACCCTCAAAAAAATCTCAAATTTCTTCCCTTCATTGGGGGCAGGCTCGAGGTGTACGTACACTGCAGCGTAGCCGTAGAGTCACTGAAAAGCAGCAGCAGCAGTGGCTGCTGCTGCTGCCTCGGCTGCTGCAGCGTGGGCACCCCTACAGAAGCTGCTGCTGGTGCTGCAGCAGCTGCTGCAGCAGAAGCTGCATGGCCCGATGTCTCGGGAAGCGGCAACAACCCGCCGCTGCAGCGGCGCAGTCGGCACAGTAGAGAGAGCAGCGAAGTAAAGAAAACCACCTGCTGTTGCTGGTGTTGATGCTGCTGCTGCTGCTGCTGCTGCTGTTGGCTGCTGCCGCCAAGCTCTGCTGAGAGGCCCCCTCTACCTTCGCTGCTGCTGCATTTACCAGCGGAAGCCTCCGCCGTCATGAGCTGTGAAAGAAGCAGCAAATGCGTCTTCTCCACAGATGAATAACAACGCCTTAGGCAAGAAATTCTAACATTTATCAGCATCAGCAGCAGCAGCAACAGCAGCAGCAGCTACTGCAGGGTGACATGCAGAAGCGGCGGCTCGTTCTGCGGCTGCTGCTGCGTCTGCTGCATATGGCTTTCTTACAAATTTATTTATTGTGAGTTTAGCATTAAACTCTTTGCCTGAGGTGGTGAACAGAGAGGAGAGAGCTTCTAAGTTTCCTCTCCCAAACGGGCCCTTGCCCGCCTCTGCTGCTGCTGCTGCAGCTGCTGCTGCAGCTCCTAACGCTGCTGCTCCTGTCTCGTACACAGGGACCGAGGCGGCAGCAACACGGCTTCCTGCTGCTGCTTCTGGCTCTTCCTCAGGTGTATGTGCACTCCATTGAGCAGCCCAGCAAGGAATATGCAGCAACAGCAGCAGCAGCCTGCTGCTGCTGCTGGCGCTGCTGCAGCTAATGGGGCGCAGAGCGGGCATTCAGGGGGGCTTCCTGCACCGCTGCAGGCTCTGCAGCAAGAAGAGCTGCGGGACGAGGCACAAGGAAGGCCAGACACGGCGGCGACCTTCGGCAGCGGTAGCAACGGCACCAACGGCAGCAGCAGCAGCAGCAGTAGCAAGGGTGAAAGCTGCTGCAGCCAAGTGTACGCGGAACGGCAGGCTGCCTTCAAGAGCCACCCAGCAGCAGAGGAGATGCGGCAGCAGCGGCTAGAGATGAATTCTATCATAAGGTCGGGCGCGCGTGCTGAACTGCTGCGGCAGCTGCGTGCAGAGACAGAGAGACAGCTGCGGCAGCAGGAGGAGCTGCTGCAGCAGCAGCAGCTAGAGGAGGATGCTAGCAGCCAAGTGCAGCAGAGAAGACACCGCAACTACTCCGCCTGCACTCCTGGCGAAGGCATGAAGGCCTCTCTCGAGTGTATGGATGGCCGCCCGCTGCAGCAGCTAATCACACAGCCACAGACATTGTACGAGCTTCCAGAAGACTTAAAGTCAGGTGAGCCGCTACTTCTGCTGCTGCTGTTGCTGTTAATCCTGCTGCTGTCTGTTGTTGCTCTGGAGTGGGGTTGGTGGTTATCACGCCGGCATCGTTTCGTTGTTGCCGAATCTGTGGGCTGCTGCTGCGGCTGTTTCAACATAACTTCCGCCGCTGCTGCTGCTGTTGCTGCTGTCGCTGCACGTGCTGCTGTGGCTGTTGCTACTGCTGCTGCTGGCTGCAGGGGATTATATGGTCTCTGTGCGCCCTGAGGGCCGCAGCTGTTTGCTGCTGCTGCGGGGCGGCCGCGGGCATTTGCTGGGGAAGAACGGGCGGCCGCTGCTGCGGCTGCAGTGCAGCAGCAAATCGCAGCTTACTGCAGGCGCAGCAGCGCGAGCTTGCATGCGAGGTGGGGGCTCAATGCTACTGCTGTCACAGCAGCAGCAGCAGCATGAGCTGCACACGCTGCCGCTAGGGACTGATGCGCTGCAGGAGGAGCTCCAGAAGGAGACATATTTCGGTATGCGAGCTCAAGAGAAGCAGCAGCAGCTGCTGCAGCTAAGTAGAATGTTCGATGTCTCCTTGTACAATGGCGCTGCTGCTGACACCCCCCCGGGCGGCTCTAACCAGGCTGAAGGCAGCATGATGCAAGACCATCAACTGCAGCAAGAGCAGCAGCAGCAGCATCGGCAGCAGCAGCAGCAGCAGCGGGGGATCCCACTGATGTATTTGCCTGTGGGGGTTTTATCAAAAGGGCTGACGCTATTAGAATGCGTTTTGTGTCCATACACCCCAGCGAACATGCAGCACTGCAGCATGCGGTACGCGGAAGCGGAGGGAGACACTGAAGCAGCAGCAGCAGCAGCAGCACCAGGAGCAGCAGCAGGGGCGGAGGAGCCTCTGTGGCAGGTGCTGTTTGTTGTAGATGTTTTATTTCTTGGAGGCCTCATGCTCGGCCACTGCGACTTTGAGTGCCGGCATTTCTTTTTAAAAAGCAGGTTAGCAGTTTTAATATCTTTCTTTGCTTTTTGTCTGTTTGTTTGTTTGTTTGTTCGTTTTTGTTTGTTTGTTTAGTATATGTTTCTGCGCTTGTTTGGGTACTATATGTTTATTTGTTTGTGTATTATTTGTTTGTTTAGAGTTTATTTGTTTGTTTGTTTATTATTTGTTTGTTTGTTTATTATTTGTTCGTTTGTTTATTGTTTGTTTGTTTGTTTATTATTTGTTTGTTTGTTTGTTTATTGCTGAGTTGTCTGTTGTGTATTATTTGTTTTTGTATTTGTTTGTGTCTTCTTTCTATTGCCGTTTGTATGATTGACTTTTGTTTATTTTGTTGTTTATTTGTTCATTTTTATATCTTTTTCTGTTTGTTTCGCTGTTTGTTTAAATTATTGCTGGTCTCCGTTGTTTCGTGCGGTGTACATACACCCGAACACTAATAGGAATTTGTTAAGGCTTGGGGTTTACGAGTAGGGGCGCAAGGGAGAAGCATCTCTGCAGCGGCTTCTTCTTCCTTTTATTCTTTTGGGGCTGCATGCAAAGCGCCTTTCGGCTTGCTGCATGTAATTCAGAGACGTGCTGCTGCTGCTGTTGCTGTTGCTGCTGCTGCTGCTGCTACTGCTACTGCTTGGATTCAGAATTGAGGAGACACCTGAGGCGTTTGCGCCGCTACAGCTGCTACCATTTGCCGATGCGGCTGCATCTGAGTTGCAGTCTCTCGTAGCTGGGTGAGCCTTGCAGCCCCACGAGGTGTACATACACCGCAGCAATTGAACGCGCAGATTTAGGGTGTAGGGTTTAGGGTGCTGTTTGCTGCTGTGGAGACATTAATCTTGTCTCCTGTCGCTTGTCTGCTTTCTCTTGTCTTTGGTGTGGTGTATGCTAATATTGTTTGCTAGAGGCTGCACTGCGTCTCTTGTTTTTTTTTTCTCGTTGTCTCCTTTAAGCTGTCTCTGTTTGGCTTGGGTTGTCTGGGCCTATTGCTGTGTTTATGCGAGCATTTGCCTCTATCAATTTGTCTGTCTCTCTGCCTCTGTCTCCTCCTCGCACCTTGTCTGTCTCTTTATCTTTGTCTCCCTCTGTCTCTTTCTTTCCTTGTCTCTGTTTATTTTGTCTCTCTCTGTCTCTGTTTATCGTGGTTATAGGGGTGTTGCTTGGTTGTGCTGCTTCTATCTGTGCATGCGGAATGAAGATCCCTTATGTTAATGCTGCTGCTGTTGCTGCTGCTGCTGTTGCTGCTGCTGCTGCTGCTGCTGCATGCGTTGCATGCAGCCCTTTTTTATATCCGCCTGATGGTTTTCTCTTTCACCACAAGTTGGCTCCCCACATCGGGGGCCCAAACCCTCTTGCTTTATCTTGGAGAGACGACAGCATTGCGTAAGCACTCTAAACCCTAAACCCTAAACCCTAATATGTCGCGAACGGCTGGCAGGCTCGGCCTTTTTTCATTGAGAGCTTTTGCATCCCTGTCTTTATTTCTGGGGCTAGGGTTCAGGGTTTAGGGTTTGATCTGCTGCGGAAGAGAGACACTGTTGGAGACAGGAGGGTGAAAAGGTTTGTGTCTCCTTTTGCGGTTGCAGCCGGTTTCCTCTTGATGAGAAGAATAGGGGGCAGCAGCTCATTGACACATTTTTGCTGCTGCACCCAAACGGGGAACTCCGAAGCAGCGGTAAGCAGTCACCAAGCAGCAGCAGCAGCAGCAGCTGCAGCAGCAGCAAACGCATGCATGCATGCAGCGGATCAGCACGGGCAATGTGTGTATGTTACGCCGTAAAGAGGTGGATATACACCTCATATCTCAACGTTTCGTTGCTGCTTGTCTCTGGGGTTTGTTGCTGCTGCATGCAGAGGGCCTCGTCGTGGGGCTGGCAGACCCCAAGCAGTTTTGCCTTGAAGGCATGACGGAGCCTTGCATAGCTCAGTAAGTGTTGCTGTTGTTTTATTGTTTGTTTGTTGTTTTATTGCTTGTTTGTTTCTAAGACAAGTATTTATTTGCTGTCTTAGTGTTTGTTTACTGTTTGAGTGTTTGTTTATCACCATAATGTTTGCTGGTTTGTTTGTGTGTTGTTATGCGCGTCTTTGTTGTTTGTCTTAAGCCTTACGTTCTATCTATTTCTACTTCCGTATCTTCTCTCGCTGGGGCTGCATGCAGATCATGGATTGTCTGTACACCTCGTGCATGCATGCATGCATGCATTTGCATGCGTGTGGAGGCCCTGCGTCATTTTGGGGCTTTTTTTCGCAGCGGTTGCAGTTGTGTTTGTTTCACTGCATGCATGCATGCATGCATGCAGTCGCTACATGAGCTGCTGTTTGTTTTTTTTGCTTATTTGTTTATTTTTTCAGTTTTAAAGTGGGAGATTTAGACCTAAAAGAGCGCCGCTTCCTTCGCGTTGAGAGAATCGATGCAGAAGAGGCTTGCATGCACCTTGATGCAGAAAGGAGAGGAGCAGCAGCGGCTGCTGCCTCGCCGCCAGACACTCGCTCCCCCGGCGATGGGGACACCCACACAACCCAGAAATCCCCCCCTGCAGCAGCAGCAGCAGCAACAGCAACAGCAGCAGCAGCAGCAGCAGGAGGGAGAGGCAATAGGAAAGCCAACCGGCGGAGGCCCCCTCGCGTTATAAGAGAAAGGGCCCCTGATGCTTTTTCAAAGCTAGCAGACCAGTGGCTGCGTTTGCGGGGTATTCACCCCGTAACGTTTGAACGTTTGTGCGCTTTATGCCCATTTTAGTGTCTCCTTTTGGCTGTCTTGGTCTCCTTGTTTTCTGTTTATTAATTAAAAAAGGTCTTCGCAACCATTTCATAAATGTTGTTATGTTAGTTGTGTCTGCATTAGAGACAACCATATGTGCTGCATGCGCATGCATTCACGCCGTTCAGGCGACTGTCAGCGGGGCTGCAGCAACAGACAGACAGCGCCCCGCGAATCGGCGCTGCAAATTGAAGGACTCCAGCCCGCTGCCTCTGCAGCAGGGAGACACACCAGCAGCGCAGCAGCAGCAGCTGCCGCCGCAGCAGCAGCAGCGCAGCTAAACACGTGTAGCAGTGACAGTGACGAGGGTTTAAAGAAGAGGGGTATGGGAGAGACGCAGCCCGTTATTCGGGAGCTCAACGAGAGCTCCACCCCTTAAAAGATGCTGCTGCTGACACTGCTGCTGCAGCGATCTTAGCGGCTGAAACTGCAGCCGCATGCAAGGGGACGGGCTATCTCCTCCTAACATTGTGCCCGCTCAGGCATTGGTTTACGGATCCCCACAGCGTGGGATCGGATCCCCATAGCGTGGGATCGGATCCCCATAGCCTGGGATCGGATCCCGACAAGTGTGTGGAGGCTGCGTTTGTGCGAGGTGTGTGGGGATTTGCTGGTGCACAAGACTTTGTGAGAGGCCAAGCAAGATAGGCGGAGACAATGAAGAGGCGAGACAAAGGGACAGAGACAGAAGAGTGTGTGGGGCGCTGTGACGTGGGGCGAGGGAGACAGCAGCATCAAGGGCTGCTGCTCATGTCTTGAGTGTCTTCGAGGCACTGAAGACGATACACAAGGGAGCGTGCTTCTGCTGCTGCTGCTGCTGCAGCAGGTAGATCCCGTGCTTCCTGCGCCGCAAACTGCCAGTCTCCAAACTGTCTCTTAAGCTCGTCGAAGCGAACGCGAGAGTCAAGAGGGCTGGGGTTTACCTTAGAGACACTTAGGGCCCAGAGCTCTACGCTCTCTTTTAAATAGACATTCAACGAGCATAACAAAGAATATTCTAAAGACACCAGAGCCATGTGTGCTGCAGCACGAGACGCCTTCACTGCTGCAGCATTTGCTGCATCCTCCGCCTCCAGCAATGCCGTTGTGTCGGATGCATGCGCTGCTGCTTCTAGGAAGCTGTCTGCTGCTGCTGCTCCATCTGCAGCACGCCGCCTCTCTACATGCAGTCTCTCTAGCAGCTGCTCCTGCAGCGCAGCACCTACTGGGTTCTCTGATTCTATATAGGGGACTTGTATACTTTTCTTCAATCTCCAGCGCAGCTTATTAAAGACAGATTCTGCTGCTGCTGCACTCTCAAGAGCCTGCAGCGCAGCAGCGCGGATATTCTTTAGGTGCGACTTCCGCATGGATGCCAGAGACTGGTGCAGCAAAGGAGACAAACCAGAGGTCTCTTGAAAAAGTAAATGAAAATCTAATGCAGATGTCTTTACCCTCTCATTCACCAGGTGTAAGCGATCAAATGCTGCAGCAATACCCTCAGTTGAGTCGCTCTCCTCCAAAGCACGCCTTGCTGAGGCATGCTCTTCTAATAATTCCTGAAGCTTAGAGCCCAAATCATGTTGCAGCAGCTCCTGTATCTTCTGCTGCTGCTCCTTGGTCCTCTTCTGCTGCACCTTATGCTGCTTCTGCATCTCCTGTTGCTGCTGCACCCCCTGCTGCTCCTGCTCCTGCTGCTGCACCTCTTGCTGCTGCTGCATCTCTTGCTGCTGCTGCATCTCTTGCTGCTGCTGTATCTCTTGCTGCTGCTGTATATCTTGCTTCTGCTCCGTCTCTTGTTGCTGCTGCACCTCAGCAGCACTTGGTTGATTTTCTTCTGGGGATTCTTCTGCTTCTTCAATCCTCTCCAGCAGCTCTACCACATTAGCATGTGTTCTTTGAAGGCCCTCCATTAAGCGTTGGCTGTTTGCTGCATATTTAAGTGAAGCAGCTTTTAACCCTGAGAGGAGATTCTCCTGCAGACGCTCTGCTAATTGTGTTGCCCTCTGCCCCCTTGCGCATGCAGAGTAGACTGCCTCTAGGTACCTGCAGGTCCCTACAACAGTCTGCACGGCGATGCTGCTGCTGCCGTTGCAGCAGCTGCTGCTGCTGCCGCTGCAGCAGCCGCTGCTACTGCAGTTGCTGCTGCTTTCGCTCCTTGCATGCACCTGCAACCTAACGAGGGCCCTGTACGCTCGGTGTGCTCGCTGACTCTCTGTCTTTGCTGTTGCTGCAAGAGATTGAAGATGAATGTCTGCACCTACTAGCAAACTCTTGCTGGCGCTCCCCCACACTTTATTAAAGACAGCAGATGACAGCGGGAAAGGCCGATGCAGCGGGAGGGTTTGCTGCAGCGAAACCCATGCACGCTCCTCTGCTGTCCGCAGCAACTGCTGCAGCGCGCTGCATGCAGCCCTAAGCCCTGCTTGTAGTGACCGAACCTCTAGGATACCCATTTGCTGCTGCTGCTCTCTGTCTAGTAAGACCCTTTTAGAAGCAAGTGTCTCCTCCCCAGGAGACCCCCCGTTCAGCCAGAGTGCTTCCGTCTCCAACTTAACGCTTTCTACCAACTCTTGGGCCTCCCTAAACAGCATAGAGGCATCAATGTTGTCTAATACTGCTGCTAGCCTCTCTGATGGAGGCAGCAGCGCTGCTGTACGCTGCAGCTGACTCCGCAGTTCCTGTGCAGGCGTTGAGATATCAGCCAAACCCCCGCTAGCAGCACCAGCAGCAGCAGACAAAGAAGGAGACGGTGCCTCTTCTGCGAATGAGAGCCTATGCGTAATGGTGTCTCTTTGGCTTCGGCTAGCATTTGTATCTTCGGGCTCCACTGACAGCCCCACAACCCCAAATCTTCTTTTGCTGCTGCTGGAGACTGTCTCTGTCTCTGCAGCAACAGTCTCTGCATGCATAACATTCCTGACTCTCTTCAGGGATACACCTCCCTTTGTTCTATTAAATAGAATAGCAACCAGCCCAATGGCTACTAATGTCATTACTGCAACAGATATATCTCTCCGCGTAATGAAACCCCAGGGAGCCGCAGGGGGCCCCAATGGGGGGCCCCCAGAAACTGTGGGGCCCCCCACAGTATTTACATCTACCACTACTGCAGTGGATATGCTAGGGGAGTCAGGCATCAGATCTTCTGCCCCAGTTCTTGATAGGGGGCCCCCTTGCTGCTCCAGAAGGTCTTCGTCTGAGGCCCCAGCTGAGCGACCCCAACGCTTAAGAGAAAGGGTAGAAGAAACCAATGGGCCCCCCTCAGTTGCTGATACAGGGTCTCTAGGCAAGCCCAGCAACAGAAGCACCAGCACGAGCAGCAGCAGCAGCTGCTGCTGCTGCTGCGCTGGATGCAATCGCTGCCGTGCAAGCCGCACCCGATCCCAGAAGACCCCACAGGGACAAAGCAGATCAAAGACCTTCAACCTTCCCCCCCACCACCTCATCTTACAGAGTTGAGGGCATGCCTCTAAGGGGGCCCCTCCTTCACTAAAGTGTGAAGGCAGAGGGTCTCTGTATATCTCTTAAGAAGCGTTCATAAGAATCGAGGGCTTAAAAGGTAGTAATTTATTGAAATAACAGAACAAACAAGCAAAATAAGCATACTTCACAACACAGATTATACTTCACAACACAATCCTTACCCTCAGCCTCTGCAGGCCCCGCTTGAGACCTCTTCAGCTTCTGTTTAGGGGAGGCTGAGTTGTGCAGAGATATGAAGATCCCCTGAAAAGAATTAAAATTCAATATCTTATACAACTCATCTTTGTCTTTATTTAGGAACAAACCCCACAACAATCCCTACCCCACACCACACTCTACCTCAACTTCATCTAAGCATATATCTCGAGGGAACGCCTGTTTATTATATTATATCAATATAAATATATTGATATATTTACAGATGTGGGGTTGAGAATAAATCCAAATACATTTAATATATTAAATAATCAGTCTTGTTAAGCTCTATAGTAATATAAAGGTATATAATAAAGAGAAACGTGTGGGGGAGACAGTAAAATTTAAGAGGGGGGACAGCGGAGTTGGGGACAAGGGAACCGTGCACAAGAAAAAAATCTACAGCAGAAGTACAATTGTCTACAATGTTACTGCAGACAATAACACTGTAGACAATTGCTATACTTCTGCAAAGATCTACAAATGCTTCTTCTAAGAACTCTTGCCTTAATTCTTTTGACTTTGTTGCAGCTCGCAATGGGCCTTCAGTATAATCAAAGAACCCTTCAAAAGTGAGAAAACAACAAACCCCACCAACAAAACAGAGTTTCCTGCTGCAAGGCAGTGATCAGTACCGGAAGTGACTTAAAAGATATAGAGGTAAATAAGACACTCCAAAATTTATTGCAAAGCTTCAGCGCATTTCTCCTTCAGTATAATGAAGTTTATTCAGGATCTGCCCTCTGGTAAAGAGGCGACTAACGAACGGCTGAGAGGCTTATTGTGTTTAACACCAATTCAGTGCCTGCATTCAATCAAGCGAGAGAAGGTCTAAAGGCAAAGACAATTCATGAAGAAGGCCTCTGCCTTTGCCGCTCTTGCACATATGAGGGAGCCCTGATGCAGGAGTAGTGGAGGTGTTCCTTACTTCTCTGGAACTGCATTTTTTACTTCGACAGGCATCGAAGAGCTACTCTTGGTATTAGCTTCTTCATTATTATAAACGTAGATAAGACAGCAGTGGATACCTTTCAGCAAAAACACCATTTTCTTGAATATTTTTAGAGAAAGGAAACCTCCCGCGATGAGCTGCAATGCCGGTTTATTTGCAATTCAGGAGCAGAACGGGTTGTGAGGAAACTGAAAAAACCTGAACACAGGAAGATTTAGCGAGGGCGCTACATCGAGATATATCGGCTCTTCAAACGGATGTTCATTGGGGGACTTGGAACCTCCGTATCAATGGTTTTTATTAGGGCTGTTCCCCGAAGAGTTGCAGTGGATAGCAGGCTGGGCGTAGGATACTAGTATTTCTGCATCAAGGAGAGGAAAACGGCACTTCAACCGCCTTAGCTGAGAACAAAAAAATAGAACCTCTCCTTATCGAGGCTGTGAATGCTGAACAAGAACATGCAGCCTCTCCATATCGAAGCTGTGAATGCCACTTCCAATCGGAAAATAACGAACTGCTCCAACTGACAGCAGATGGGGAAACTGGCACTCAAAAAGTTGGGGGAAGTGCAGAGTGGAGCACTTTTTGCTACTGTAAAGGCAGGTCGATGCAATTCGCTTTGGGAGAGGCATCAATTGGTTCAACAGAATAGTGAATCGAGAAGCTTGTTCCTTTCTGTGGAGTAGGATCCGCTCCTTAACGTAGGAATATGCCTTCACTTATCGGGAATGCCAGCAGCTAAAGCCGCTAACAACCGTCAAACCCGGTCTGTAACAGAGACTTCCAATACTGGAACGGGTTTGAACGGATATATCAATGTATTTCATTGTGGGTTCACTCCCATTCAGAGGCTGCGATACCACCTACATCGTCGAGGATTGACTCAGCAAGTATTCCCCCTTCATTCAATGTTAAAGTTCGGTTACAGCACATGAAGAGACCCAATTATTCATTGACTATGTCTAGAAGCTTCACAGTTCTCCGATAAGCGCCAGTACTGATAGGTGTACGGAAATCTTTAAAACTCCCTGCCCCGAATTCAGAAGAGTTTCAATATCGACAATATATCGACGAGATCAAAACCACCGTGAACCACCTGAAAGAAAGCAGTCAAAGAAACTGCAAGCTGGTGGGATATGTATGACTTTATACCTAGGAATGTTCACATAAAACGGTTCCTATTTCTCTCCTATGAAGCATAGGCTTACAACAGAACGGTGCTCTCTTCAACCCACTGCTCTTAGGAATCCTTCGCCTTCACCGAAATACCGATCAGTGACCCGACATTAGATCTGCTTGTTGAGTGCCACGCAAGGACGCTTGCAGATTCCGAACTCCATGCACAGCTCGCAACAGCGTGAGAAAGGCACAAGAATACCAGGCAAGAAATCAAGACAAACGTCTGGTACGCAGTTCAGCGACTTCCTTATAGTAGATGCGCACGCTCCCCGAGGCGTGGACGAGCACCGAGTCGAAGCAGTTCGCTGTCTCTTGTGTGGGGCCATTTTCTGTTCATTCTTGGGTTAACGCGTGAGCCTACATCGTTGACGTACTCTCAACGGGGAGATATTATCATACCATTAACAAAGGTTGGGCCTTGCTATCACACCAGATCAGCACCTAGCAGCTGGATGCCTCGGGTCGTAGGTTAGAAGTAGAGGGAAGCAAGGGGTATTACGGTTATTCAAAGGAGCAACCAGACATCATCTCCTTAATTTTGTTCCTCTTAAGGAAGGACAAACTTGAGCTGGAATTCGCTGCGCGAGTTGCGTTCTATGCAGCCTCAGACTGCGCTACAGGCTTTGTCAAATCGAGCTGATAAACAACCCCACCATCATCGGGCGTTTGGGGACAGCGCATTCATTGCTGGGAGAGGCTTCGGATGAGCAGGAGAAGAAGCAACTCAAGCAGGCAATACCACAACATTTAGTACCTATTAATCACAGATAAGGCTTCTGAAAAGTATTCAAAACGAAAATGAATCTAATTTTATTTGTACTTTCGAACTGAAGATTCATATAAAATAATGTGTAATATTCTCTATACTATAATAATTCAGAGACGCTGTGTTGTGTTGCAGGATAGGAAGTAGTAGAGCAACACGGTGTCTCAGCAGTTGGTGCAGTGTAAATATATGAATGAATGAATTATATATATTATATATAGCTTGGCCTCAGCAAGCAACGTATTCTCAAGCATAAGTACAGCAATTGTCAACAGTATTAACGCTTATAACTGAAGCCCCAATAAACTCTCCCTCAGTTCCAGGCCCTTGTGAGGCTGCCCAGAGCCTCTGATGGCTAGAGATAAAGCTAGCTGCTTTATAATAATAACTCTTTCCTTAGATCTTTCTTAACGACTGTTCTTAGTCTCATTATATTAGGGGGCCCTTAGGCCTCCGTTTATTTGAGAACTTCTAAGGAGAATAGCTGTTTCTCTGGAGTTGTTATCTTAAGCCATTTAACCTTACTGCAGCTTATAGCAGTCTTTATATACTAAGATCGCGGTCTCCATAGAGTCAGTCGCCTTTCTATTATAGAGAGCCTTCTTGCTGGTAGAAGTATCTCTGATGCAGCTTCTTATAGACAAGTGTTTATCTGCTGTGTGTACTAAATGATAGCTCTATAATAATTAACAATGTTTATATTTCATATGACAAAGGAAGAACAGCGGTAACGGCCAACTGAAGCTACAACGCTGATGCTGCTACAGCTGTTGCTGTTGCTGCTACTGCTGCTGCTGTTGCTGCTGCTGCTGTGGCTGGCTGCTGCATGTGCTGCGTGTGTGTGTGGGGGGCCTGGCGAAGGGCAGCAGGCTTCAGCGGATTTCTTCGTTAAGAAGGATGAAAAAAAAGAAAGAAATGCAATAAGAGAAGATATTTAGCTCAAACTGTAGTAAACAGAGGGAGCACCCACGCCGTAGCTGCGGCTGCTTCTTTGCGGCTTCTGCACCGTTGAATTGTGTGTTTATTTTTTGTTTATTATACTAATTCTTTTTGCAGAACTTCTTTGTATATCTTTCTTTTTCTTATTAAATGACTCCGATATGCCTTTAGCCTACAGTACGGACAGGGCGTGGCTTACCAGCCCCGGAGGCCCCCCCGGCATTTTGCTGCCTTTTTATCATCAATCTTCATCACATTCTTTATCTTTTCTTCGTCTAGAAACCCTTATGCAGAGCGCCTTTACTCTTCTTTCTTCTTCAGCAACAGCCAGCAGGCCGCTTGAGGGCCCCTGGGCCCGCACTCGTGCCTTCTGCGGGCGCCCGAAGAAAGGTTCCTAGCAGGGACTAAGTAGTTACTATATAGCTGCTGCCGCAGCAGCAGCAGCCGCAGCAGCAGCAGCAGCAGCAGCCGCAGCAGCAGCAGCAGCAGCAGCAGCCATAGCAGCAGCAGCAGCAGCAGAAGTCAATCCAGAGTTCGCAGGTGCATTGCTTACACATTCGTCTTGTTTTACACTTGAGGTGGGAGTATGATTGAAGAGGCTGCACTTCCTCCAGACAGGGCTTGCCTGTCACCTTCGGGGTGTATCAGTCTAACTTTTGCGGCTTCAGCAGCAGCAGAAGCACCAGCAGAAGCTGCAGCATGTGCTGCTGCTGCAGCTGCTGATGTGTGTCTGTCTGTGGAGGCCCCAGGGGCCTCTAAGAATGCTGCTTCATTAATTGAAGCAGCTTTAAGTAGCTCGGCTTCAACAGCTACAGAAGAAGCTTCCGTCTCTGTTACTCTAGAAGGCCCCGTAGGCAGCAAGGGCTCTTTTTGTGAATCTCGCTCGGGCGTTGAGCAGCAGCTTTCTCAGCCCAGCAGCACCTGCAGCAGCAGCACATGCAGCACCAAGACCTGCAGCAGCAGCACGTGCAGCAGCACTTGCACCTTAACAGCAGTTCTTAAGAGGCAGGCTCTACTCGCCGCTATAGGCCGCCTGCACTCAACAAGGACGCCAAACCCACAACTCAAAACCACCACCTCCGCCGTACTTCATTTCATAGGTGCGCCACTTGGGGGTTTAGGGTTTAGGGTTTAGGGTTTAGGGTTTAGGGTTTGGGTTCTCAAGGTATCGGGCTGTAGACCCTCTAAGGAGTAGCACCCTTTAGGTGCAGCCTCTTTAAGATGGCTTTGGGTTTACGGTTTAGGGTTTAGGGTTTAGGGTTCATGCGGGGTGGCGTGCTGTTGGGTCTGGGGTGTACAGGCTAGGGTTTGGGGTTTAGGGTTTAGGGTTTGGGGGTAAGGGCTTGGCGCTTAGGTTTTTAGGGTTTGATTGTGTGCGTGGGGGGTGCAGCGCTACTTTTATCTTTTGTGATGCTTGTTGCCCTCTGGGGTGTCTTGGTAAGTATCTAGGGTTTAGGGTTTAGGGTTTAGGGTTTATGCTTACATACACTGCAGCTGGTCTTGATATTGTCTTTCATTTGCTGCCTCTTACTTTATTTCCATTGTTTTTATTGCATGTCTTTTGCTTTTGTCTCTGTCCCTGTTTGCTATTTATTTTTATATTTTCTTATATTTTTATCTGTCTCTCTGTGGGTATCAATGCATCTTCTGTTCGGGTGTATGTGCACCTCTGCATGCATCTTGTTGGGGTGTATGCGCATCTCTGCATGCGTTTTGCGTTTTGTTGGGGTGTATATGCACCTCTGCATGCGTCTTGTTGGGGTGTATGTACAGGACGTGGTAGTTGAGGTACTGGCGGGCCCCAACAGTTTGAAGCAGCTGCAGGGATATGCAGCGCTGCTCTTTGTAGGTCTTCTTCTTACTTTTCTGCTCAAGTTTATTGAGAGTCAGGGACGCAAGCTTACCATCTACCCCAGTGAGACCTCTGCCGCATCATCGAACGCAGCAGCAGCAGCAGCAGCAGCAGCAGCAGCAGCGGTAGCAGCAGCAACAGCAACAGCAGCAGCAGCAGTAGCAGCAGCAGTAGCAGCTGCAGCAGCAGCAGTAGCAGCTGCAGCAGCAGCAGTAGCAGGCGCTGATGCGCAGCGGCTTTCTCGTCTTTGCTGCTGCAGTGAGCGGATTGGAGGGGAGGATTCAGGCTTCGAACCGCAAGGGTTTAGGGTTTAGGGTTTAGTGTTTAGGGTTTAGGGTTTATGCTGCGCTTGTGCTGCAGCACTCATCGTCTCTCTTGTGACCGTCGTGGCGGCGTGGGGAATCATAGTAAGTCTCCTGAACCTCCTGAATCTGCAGGGGTTTAGGGTTTAGGGTTTAGGGTTTAGGGCATAGGGTTTAGGGTGGTGTCGGAGCTCGGACTTGGGTTTATATATGGAGTATATGCATGCACAATCTATATACATGTACATATATATATATATTGTGTTTCTTCTCTTTGTTTCTCTTCACTGTCTCTCTTTGTTTGTCTCTGTTGTATGCTTAATATGCATTTGTGTGTTTGTCTCTCCCTGGCTGTGTCTGTGGCTTGCATTGATGTGCATATATTTGTCTGTTTTTGTGTGTCTCCTTTCTGTCTCTTCAGGACGGTGTTGTGGAGGTAGCAGCACGTGGGCATAAACATTATGAAGGGTTTATATACGCAGCATTTTTTATTGCTTCTGCAGTTCTTGTGTCTCTACACACCTGTTTCTGCAATAGAAGCTTTAGTGTACAGCTGCGTAGATTTGTATGTTACTGACTTTCGGTCTCTCCCTTCGTCTGTCTCCGTCTTGTCTCCTTTCTTTTGCTAAACCACCTACGTTGCTCTTGCTGCGTCCCCATGCATCTCTACTCAATTTGAATATACAGACAGACAAAGCAGTGAAGCAAAGGAGAAGACAGAGACTGTCTAGATTATTTAGGGCCTTTGCTAGGGATTTACCACTTGCTGCAGTTTAGAGACACTCAAGTGTCTCTAAACTGCAGCAAGTGCTGGGAGCTCCACAATGCAGACTATTAGCTGCTTACTTCCTTCATATCTATGATTCATTAAGAAATAAGCAATTCTTTTTTATGGTCTATTAACTGTCTCCTCAAGTGTCTCCTTTAACTTGGGTACACCCTGTACCCCGTTGCTGTGGGGAGGAGGAGCAGTTGCTGTCTCCGTTTCGCTGCAGTGTCTGTACACCGAACACGAGTTTTGCTGCCCAAGTAGAGGGCACTCTAGGACTCATTATTATTATTATTATATTTTTTTTCTTGTCTCCTTGTACCGTCTCCGCTGCAGCTCAATCGGCTGTCTCCGCTGCAACTGTCGATAGGCTGTCTCCTCTGCACTGCTCTCTCTAGTGTCCCTTTGGTGTCTCCTTGAAGGCTCCTTCCCCCTTATCTTTGTTCTGGTGCACCTTATGATTTTTCTTTTACTGTCTCCTTTCTGTCTCCCTCCTCTGCTACTTTTGTTGGCTCTCATCTAGTACTTCGCAGACAGCAGCTTTAAGCTTCTACAGCTATATTTGCTGTCTCCAGGAGACACCTCAGGAGACACCCTAATGAGTGCCCTAGGAAGCCCGCTTGAGCTAATTATTTAGCTAGCTACACCGCAACAGGAGTGCTACACTGGCTGCTGCAGCAGCAGCAGCAGCCAGTGTAGCAGCAACAGGTACAACAACAGCAGCAAGCGCAGCAACAGCAAGTGTAGCAGGAACAGGTGTAGCAGCAACACGAGGTGCAGCCGCAACAGCAGGTGCAGCAGCAGCAGGAGCAGGTATAGCAGCAGCAGCAGCAGGTGCAGCAGCAGCAGCAGCAGGTGGAAAAGACGCATTTTATTTCATAGATAAAAGTAATTGTTATTAGAGATGCGCAAAGAGGAGCCGCCCAGCATGTTGCTGCTGGAGACAGGCATCTTGTAGGGTAAGCACCTTTAAAGGGCTCCCAGTCATAAAGTAGTGGGTATGAAGAAAAGAGCAAAGCATAGATATCAAACTAATAAGGCTTACAAAGGAGAGTAAGAATGTAAGATAAGATTGGCGATGTGTCTTCTTCATAAATTGCACAACAAACCCTAATCCTACAGCCCCAGCAACAAAGGCAGTTAAGAAGAAGCAAACTGTATCTACAGCTTCGAGTCTCCCCAAGATAGCATATTGAAGAGTGTTTGCAGAAGAAGTAAAGAATATCATAAAGTTAGCTGTACTTACAGCAGCTATTGGAGACAGCCCTATCTCTAGCAGCAAGGGCCCCTTAATAAGGCCCCCCCCTATGCCTATAGCTCCTGCTAGAACACCAGCAAGCATAGATAGAACAGGGTAAACAAACGCTGTTACAGGAGTCAACCAGCCTAGTCCCCCCTCCTCCAACCCCCTGCTGCTGCTGTTGCTGTTGCTGTTGCTGTTGCTGCTGCTGCTGCTGCTGCTGCCAGTGGCTTGCTCCATTAGGCGGCGTCTCTTGATTAGCCAACGAGCAAATAAGAATGTACCGAAGACATGCACAGACAGCAGAAGGTATATACATGCTTGTTCCGACTGAGAGCCGCACAATACTGCAACAGGGCCCCCTGCAACTACTAGCAGCACAACATTAATAAGAGAATCAACAGCTAAATATAATACACTCATCTGAGACGTCCCGCAATAGAAAGCCTTCTCCGCTTCCCCTTTAGGTAAAGCCACAGCAGAAGCTGCATCAGGTAAACCAAACAAACGCTCAGAAGCACTAAAAAAGGTTGTGTCTCCTGTCTCCGCAAGGGTCTCCAAGGGGGCCCCCCCGGGGGCCCCCCCAGCCCCTTCATGGGTTTGTTTAGCAAGAGAGAGAGGTGATTTATACTCTGATTTGGTTGAAGAAGGAGGCAGAAGCTGCTGCAGCTCTGAACGGCTCTCCCCGAAGGCCCCCCAATTGCTGCATGCACTGTCTCCTTCTTCTGTTTGATATGGTTGATTTTGTCTTTCAAGCTGCTGCAGTATTCTTGTCTCTTCTGCTCTTTGTGCGAGGCCCTTCCGAAAGGTTTTATAGCTTGTAAAGGATAAGGTAAGAACAAGACATGCAAGTATTTGAAGGTCTGTCATAACAATATTTAATAAAACCCCTATAATAGCCCCTAATAAAGTAAAAGGCTCCATTATAGCAGCTAACTCGTAGTTTATTAAGGGGGCATTGGACTTTGGATGACGTCGACGAATATTTATTAATACAGACATCAGACAGCCTCCAAAGATAGTAGCTTTGGATAGAGGAACTGCTTTATGTACATCTCCTAGAGATACTACATAACCCGGTATATAGAGAGCGCCCCCCCCTGTACCCGCCCCAGAGGCCAGGGTAGCAGCTATAAATATAACTGTCATTAAAATTATACGCCCTATTATCTCCATTTTAAAAGTTGCACTGAAAAGCCTTCTATTGTGGTGTACATACACCCGAAGTTAATACAAACACCCGAGCCCGCTGCTCGATGCCCTTACTCAGATATGAGGGGCTAATTCAATAAAGAATAAATATAAATTATTAAAAAATGCAAAACAAATAACTCATTCTCTTATTTTTAATCATATACACCTCAATATACACCCCAATTAAGCGCCGAAGATCAGCAGCAGCAGGCAGCTGCAGCTTGCTGCACAGCGGAGAGAAGAGTATTTAAATCATTTAATATATCGATACTGGATAAGAAATAAATATATATTATATTATATCTCATAAGAAAGAGATAAAAGTGGAGACAAGAGACAGCAAATATAAATATATATCATACATCCATACAAACAGCTGCATCGGGCCTCCAAGCAGCAGAGGCAGGCACAGCGGCTTTGCTGCTGCTTGTAGCTGTTTGTTTTATTTGTTTGGCTTTGTTTGTTAAAGAACAATTAAAAGGTTTTAACCCTTGTTTTATGTCTTATCTTCTCTAAATGAGATACTATACAGGGATATATGAAGAGACAGCAAAAAGAAATATACAAGAATAATTATATATATATGTATATACACCTCAAGGCCTTGCATGCAAAACAAGTAGAAGCCACTGGTCTCCAAGCCCCAGAGACCATCATACCTTCTTCTTCTCTTCAGCTATATTTTGCTTCTGTTGTTTATTGCTTCTTATTTATATATATGCGCAGTCATGACACACAAAAAGCAATAAGACACCCCCGTATACACCCAGCAGCAGCAGCAGCAGCGGCAGCCTATATATATATATATATATATATATATATATAGTTTATAGATATATAGTATATATATAGGGAGACTTGCAGATGCAGCAGATATAACAAGGTGTATCTTTCAGGTGTACGCTGAGCTTATGTCTCAAACAATTTGTCTAAATGAGGGCGTGCAGTACTATTGCTGTCTGAATTAAATAACCTTCTTTACTTTTACCTCTGAGCTGTGTCCCTACCAGTAGACAACCTCCTAGTTATTGCCTTTGCATGCATGCATAGTCTTATTTGGGACAGCTTTGTTAAATGACAGAAAGCAGCAAAAAGGAGACAGTTAGGCTGCTGCTGCAGCACGTGGCTGCTGCTGCAGCAGCAGCAGGAAGTGCTGCTGCTAGAGCAAAAGGAAAACTGTCTTTAGAAGGGGCAGCTACACCAGATGTTACATTTGCAGGGGTCCCTTTGTTCAAAGCCCCAGCTAGCTAGCTAGCCCTCTAGCTCTATGGCTAGCTGAGGATAGCTAGCTACTTGTAAATAAGAGTAGCTAGCTAGGAGCTAGCTGGCTAGCCCTCTAGTTGTATGGGTAGCTGAGGATAGCTAGCTACCTGCGAGAATAGCTAGTTAGCTTGAAGCTAGCCAGCTAGTTAACCCTCTAGTTGCATGCCTAGCTGAGGATAGCTAGCTACCTGTAAGAGAAACATTTAAATCAACCCTACAGCAGCAGGCACAGCGAAATATAATTACTTTAACTTCTTTAACACTCTTCGCGGGTCTCTAAAGGCTGAGGGGTGGTTAGGAGAAAGGAGACAGTTAAGGGGTGGTTTGGAGACAGGAGACAGTTTATTCATGAGGCCTTTCTTTATGCTGCACGCTCTCGCTGCAAACGCCCAAGGGACAACTCCTAAATACCTAATTGACGTTCTTATTAGCCAACCTGAATATACGAATATATATATATATATCATATATAGATATTATACATATATATATATATATCTGTACGTATACATATTCTATATATATATATATATATATATATAGATTTCATATAGATTTATGTAAGTGTATATATATATATATATATGTATATATATATATATATGCACGAATTCGTATGTATATATACATACATACTAGAAAAGAAAGTTAAGGTAGCGAGCGAATGGGCGTAGACAGCGAAGTAATAATAATATGTTTGAAACACAATATTAAAAATGTAATAAACTTTTTAAATAACTTTTACTCTTACAATATATATATATATATGTACACATATATACATACATACATATATATATATATATATATATATAGGTTCTACCATCCCCTAATAAGGTTTACATTTACTTTATCTAAAAAAATATGAATATTTATATTTCTTTAAAATATTTAAATTCTAATAGCGGATTTAATATTTTCATAGTTTCGCCATTAACTATTATTAAATGATCTTGCATATATATATATATATGTTTATATGTATGTATAAATGTTTATATATAGATATACATGTTTGTACATATATATATATCTTTATATATATATATATATCTTTATATATATATATATATATGTATGTTTATATATATATATATATATATATATATATAAACATATAAAGTCCAGCTAATAACACCG